CACAGCTTGTTACGAGTACGAAATTAAATAATTTCCAAATTCGGAAGATAGTTTCGGGTTAGAATACAGGAGAACAGGAAATCGTAAGATGGATTTATTTGAACTCGATCAACACTTTATCTTACGAATTTAATATATTACAGCTTTGAAGCTGGGTACAACCTGCTTTCGGGACGCGTTTCTCTCCCAATCCGAAACACCCGCTGTGGCTAACGTTACGTCTATCGCTGATTCTCTAGTTCCTGGAGGTGAGTTCTCTCATATAAATTTATTTTCTTTGTTTATGTTTACATTCAGCACCATTAATACCAGATTACTCACACACTCTAGATTTCTAGCTGTCAGTTCCATTGAGAAACGTCTCTTGTACGCCGTTCACATTACAGCTTATATATCACGTGATGTCTTGCAATGAGCACTCATACATCTAGTTTTCACTGGAAATCTTATCTATGAGTGCTCATTGCAAGACGTGATATAGGCTGTAATGTGAACCGGGTATTGGATCACCTTATTGTCGATATCAGACGCTCTGCAAAATCCAACTCCTCCTTAGTTTTGGAAACTGAGTCAGCATTACGTCCGCCTGTGACCAATGCGTTAAAGGCGGTGATGAATCCGACTCCTGCATGGCGTTTTGCGACAGGATGATTCACCTGAAGTGCGGCGGCACAAAGTTGGACAAGACTTTCCTAAATATTTCCCACACTAGCTGGAACTTGTTTTGGATGTGCAACGAGTGCGCAAAGCTGATGAAATGTGCTCGGTTCAAAACTGAAACAGGAAATCACACAAGCTGAGCTTTAAGAAGGAAATGGCTAAGCAAGGACAGCAGATCGCTCAGCTGTCGAAACGAATCGCGTTGACAACTCCAACATACTTGGGTTCCGGCGATCTTATGTGTCAACCGCCATTAGAAGGGCACCGCGATGAAGGCTCGCTCACCAGCAAACCACTTGTTGGAGGTACTAAAGCAGTAACGGATGATAATGTCTTTACCGAGGTCCTTGCTGTCCCTGAACCCACCGAGCTGTTTTGGCTGTACCTTTCTCGTATACATCTTAGCGTGAAATCGGAATCAATCGAGAAGCTGGTCAAAGGAAGTGTACAGTGTGCGAGGACCCGATTAAGGTTGTGCCGTTAGTCAAAAAAGGATCCGACATCAGCCTTACGAGCTTGGCTGCCAAACTACGCGAAGTTGCTCTTACATCGGACACATGGCCGAAAGGAATTTTGTTCCGTGAATTTGAGGACGGTTCAAAAAACATGTTGATGCCTCGTTTGAACACGCCTACCATCACGATCTTCGGACTAGTATGCTCATTCAGAATTGGTGCCGCGTTGTGTATTGACCACGAACTTCTCGATCCAGTCTATTCTCTGCCATCAGAGACTTTCTGGCCCTGTGGCCGAGTTCGATGGTGGGGTCTCCCAACCATCGTCTCAAGGCAAGTATGCATACATGAGTTACAGTAATTTACCTGATCAGCTTACGTGTTCTAGAGCAACGCTTCAAGCATCTACCGGCTGTTTCCAGTTGAGAAGCACTTCTGATACTGCTCATTTACTGTTCGAACAATCCTAATTCATCTCCGGGATGCACAATAGACCGCTTTTTGTAAGCTCCTGGTTCCTCCAGCCCAGTTGTGCCGATTCCTGCCAGCGCTCAGAATAGTCGTCCTGGACCTGTGGCTGGATGTGGATCAGGAGTCTTCCAGCTTGCTTCTACAGGCAAGTACAATCAATATATTGGCCATTCACTGCCTGATGCCGATCAAATTTTTAACTATTTTAGTCTCTGTGATGATGCCTCTGTAACTCCCAATTCTGGGAACCCGGAACGCGCAGTAGAAAGCCCCATTGAAGCCCCCAATCCCTCCATCTGAGTCCTACCATCAGCAGCCTTCCTCCGTCATAATCGTTCCGGACCTGCTGTCGGATGTGGAGAAGAGGTCTTCCAAGCCACTCACTATGGATGAATCTGTGATTTCCAGGCAAAACAGTCGTGATCTTCTACCAAAACCCCGGTGGATTGAATTCTTGATGAGTATTGATGAGTACCACCTAGCTGTATAGCCGGATAAAGCAGGTGCATAAGAACGCCTATCAATGGTTGTTGGGTTCTGCCCTGACCGGCGATTTGCGACCTCTGTGCACCTGAACTCCGATTCTTACCTCCACGCGGTGCCCGGTGGGGTTGCTGGCGGTGATATTTGCCGTCAGTAATGCGAACAAGAACGGGGGATCATCGTTGTCACCAAAGCACTACTGTCAATACATCGGTAGTGCCCGTGATGACGATGACAGAGCAAAAAGGTTATAGCCAACTCTAAGTAGCCTGTGATTATCGCTACCTGGGGATGCTAACCGGCTGGGTCTGGTTACGCCTTGGCCGTCCTGAATGAACTATTTTCACCTCCTCAAGGTGGTTTGTTTAAAAGGACGTTAATAGATGGAAGCACCTAGCTGTATCGGATCGTTGCTACGATGTAATTGTCCTGTGCGCAAAGTGGCTCGATTCTCGAACGCTTTCCAGTCAAATCTTCGGTCCTGACTACGAGGTCTTTCGTAGCGATCGGAATCCTAACAACAGCCGTAAATCTACTGGTGGAGGTGTCCTTGTAGCTGTCCGTGGCGGGTTGGAGGCAAAGGCCATCGAGAACGATGCATGGAACTATGTGGAGCAGGTTTGGACAGCCATCAATCAATCAATCAAAACTATATCTATGCGCTCTGTACTCGATACTCAGTGTCTATCAGTTTTCACAGTTATCTAGAGTGCCACTCCAGTTGATAAGATAATCATTTTGGGTGACTTCAATCTGCCAGGCGTTTCGTGGAGTCCATCTCATAGCGGATTTCTGTATGCAGATCCTGATAGCTCTACATTTCACGCATGAGCTATTAGTCTTTTCGACAACGCTTTCGCAAATGAACCATGTAGTTAACGAAAATAATCGTAGTTTGCACCTCTGCTTCGTGAGCACTCAGGACAAGGATTCGTTAATTTCCTCAGCTTCTTGTGCACTAACTAAGCTAGTTCCGCATCACCCTCCTCTAATTGTCACTCGTGCTCGATTTTGACGATTATCCTGAGCTCACCACAAAATTTCTCACCCCCTCCCTGGCAGACGGGAGAACTGCGTAGTCGATCAAAAGAGCAGCATTGAGACTGAATCCGATTTACTAGCGAGTCAGTCGTGAAAGCTTTTCAAGATTCCATCGAGGCATCCAGCGCAAACTTAAGCTACACCCGAAATCCTTTTGGAACTACGTGAACGAGCAACGCAAGCAACGTACAAGTTGAGATGATTTTCAAGGCCGTGACTCTGCTCAAGTCATCCTTCAATCCTGGACCTGATGGAGTTCCATCTGTATTTTTGAAGAAACATTGCTAGTTTGTTTATTCCGTTTCATCGTCTGTTCCGCATGTCTCTCTCCAGTGGCATATTTTCATCCTGCTGGAAATTTGCGCACATGTTTCCTAAACACAAAAAGGGAACGAAACGAGCTGTGTATAACTATCGATAATTTACATCGTTAAGTGCCGTTTCGAAGCTATTATTAGTGAGCTAGTGAATATGCAACCGTTGCTGTCCCATCCATTGCAAGAAGTATTTGAGTGCTGATCAACATGGGTTTACTGTCGGTCGCGCTACAGCCCACTGCTGAGTCTCTCATCGTATATTACCGAAAGCATTTTGGATCGGGTTCAAACTATTTATTCAGACCTATCCGCTGTATTCGACTAGCTTCTTCGCCACATCAGGTGTACCTCAGGGAACTCACTTGGGACCGTTGATTTTTCTACTGTACTTCAACGACGTGCATTTGGTCAACGAAGCTCCTCGGTTATCATATGCAGATGACCTCAAAATCTTCCTAAGAATCAGCTCGATAGCTGACTTTCACTTTCTTCAACGTCAGCTAAATGTATCCGCTACTTGGTCCAGTTTAAACAGGATGGTAGTGAACCCAGCCAAATTCTCTGCTCTTACGTTCTCATGAGGATATGGAAAATTCCATCATCACCTGGAGCTTCGATATTTTGAAACTTTTTAATGATAGATCTTACTTTGTCCAAATCAGTCCTCCAGAAACACTTCACTCGGACATGGAGCATAGTGGAGGCTTTTCCAAGGCCTTAAAATTGTTCAGTTCACTTGAATTGAAGTGAAGAAATCCCGTCGCGCAAATCACCAGGACAAGCTCAATTCCAAGTAAATTTGTCAATTCATTTTTGATCTGATCTGATCCAGAGATTTACCACTTGGCAAACCTTTCAAGACTACTAAGAACAGACGTTCAGTTTTGGTGTCGTAAGTGAAACATTTGTGTTGCTTCTCATATACTGGAGAAGACGTTTCAAATCCGTTTTGGTTTCAGCCAATACAGATCCCGTTGCACCCGTTTGCTAAGCCATCTCAGACATTCAAAGATTTGTACGGCCTTCCGGTTGAAAACTACTGGATGAAATCCGTTGGAGACGAATTAATGACTTAAACAAGATCTGGCTATCCGACTAAGTGACGTGACGTTACTCCTTAGTAGCCGAAGTTGATTTTTCGTATTAAGGAAAATACAATAGCCCGAACCAGAATATGATGAACATAAGACGTCTGTCGTGAAGTTGGCCCCCATTTGTACAGTTCTTGCCGTTGCGGTTTATAGGAAGCTTCACATCAACCAGCTCTACGTCTTTATGACAAATTGAAAGACCAAGTTAGAGAAATCGTTGTAAAAGAAAAGAGATGAACTAGCCTCAGGCTAAAAATCTCTAAAATAAAGACAAAAAAAAAAAAAAAAAAACGTTGTAAAAGAACTATTATAGCAAAGCTCAAGATATTGGAATGGCAAAAAATGTAATTTTTGCTTATCAAGCATGGGATCACTCCTTACAAATCAGTGACCAGTGATGCACTCCCGTAACTGACTGTTGACATGAAACGATACCAAGTAAGAGCTATCCCAAGAAACAACTAGATTCATCAAAAACTCACCTCGTCCCCCTGCAGCTTCTCTTCGGAATCGACGGCGTCTTCGAACTTCTCTTCGTGCTCATCGTCCAGCCGAGGACTAGCCACCGATTCCACTTTGCTAGCTTCGTCAGTCTTAGTTTCCTCTCCAGCACCGGCTTCATCGTCTTTCTTCTCTTCCGAAGGCCTACGGTCCTTCTCTTCCGTTTTTTCTTTATTGGCAGTAGTAGCGGTGGCACTATCTCCAGCAGCTGATTCGCTATCATCAGCAGTTGGCTTTACTTCTAATGGGGATACCTCTTCCTCATCAGCCGCCGATTCTACTTCAGCTGCTAATTCTGGAATGTCCTTCACGGTATCCTCCGCCGATTTGGATTCCATTGCAATGTATTACGAAACGGTACTGCGAACGAATTATTGCCTAAAAAAGAAAAAAACATACATTAGATTAGAATAAATAGATTGACATATTGTCGCACAAAAGAAGAAAAAAATCACATTTTTTTGCGAATGAAACACTATTCCAGCTTTGAAAGCAATAATTATGATGCAAAGCAGAACAGCCCTTGCAGCGGGGTGAAAATATAATACTGATAAGATAAACAAAAAATTGAGTTCAATTTACAGAATCAAACCTTGCACTGGCTTCCTTCTTGCCTCTCCACCTCTCTAGTTTTAATTCCAGGAACAGCACTTGTTTTTCTCCTCCTACACCGCACTGTCCGAACGACCTACCGAGAACCCCCCCGGCGTCGAATATCACTCTTTAACGCACGCAAAATTTCAACCCTCGACCGGACTGCCACTAGGTATACCGACGACGACGACGGAACGAACAGTTTTTTTCGCACCAGAATAGATTTTTTTTAATGGGTTAAACGAACCGAAAGGAACAAAACGCGACGTAAACTTATTTTTTTTTTATCGTACTTTTTTCTTCGCGAACAGAAGATCCGAAATGCACCCGCAGCGGCAGCCACAAGAGTCACTTTTGACTTTTCTTCACTCCACTCGACTCATGCAACATGCACATACGCATCCAGGAGCAGATGGATGATAGGTATTACAACATAGAAAAACAAAACATATTTTAAGATCGCATGCATATAAGCTGTGTTGCAAAATAATTCACATGACAAGCTTTAAATGCATTGTATTTTGAAATGGTTTCGATTCATGTTATAAAGGCTTTTTAAGTAGGGTTTTCCATTTCATAAAAAAATTGGAAATTATATTTCATCAACCGTTTGCCGAATCCATTCACCCCTCGGAGCGACTGAACCCGAATGTGCACACACACCAGCAACAAAATCAAGCGCTGATGTTTTGTTCTAAAATGGAGCGGCGTTTTGACAGAACTTCAGTTCAGGGCATGGTTGTGCTAAAACGTTAGAACACAACCACAGATGGCACTGCATTAAAGTCCTCTGTTAAAGTATGGACGACTGTCACCGCAAAACTGAAAGAAGCTGTTGCACGAAACGAAAATCAATTATTTAATTCATGTGTTTCACTTATACATTTTTGCCAAAGCATCAGCCTTATACATTCCATAAGACAAACCACATAGGTCCTATTGATGAATCTACGTTACGGTCGGCCAGCAGATGGAAATGATGTGAAAATGATAATGACGTTTTACTAGCTGTCAAATCGTATGGAATCATCACTTTTGTGGGTTTGGATTTCAAACCTAGGTGTCGCATGCACTGGTGCAGTTTCGCGTAGATTCATCAATTAATTATATGATTTGAGTAGAAGATCCGATAGATGTCGCCCCTTCAGTGGTAGGAAAATCATTTTTGCAGTATGGAGAATATCAGAAAATCCACGATTTGTGACTAAACATGCTTTCACAGAAGAAAACAAATAAACGAGTGTTTACCTTATCACCATAGTAATGTACTCGTGCAATTTTTGTGCATCTAAAACTGCCCATAAAGACGATAATGAATAAAAACTGAAAATTTTCATGCATTTTCAAATGGTTTCCTACCATTCCCATACATTCGAAAGTGACTGGCCCTCTGGATGTGGATGATGTCAAAAACAACAAAACATGATTAATTAGAATGCATAAAAGGTATGTGTGACCGCTTATACATTTCGTTTGACACATGATCTTTATTAACTTTTTGCAAGGCGTCTGCTTATTAGTTGACTTATACATTTTATGAATAATCAACAATGGAAATTTGCCGAAAGGTGCTTAAAGGAGATTTCTATCCGTGTGCAATCCGATGTCAATTATACAAGGTCTGGCCCAACCGGCTTATTGGTATTAGATTAGTGAAATGTGAAAATGTCTAGTAGTGGTCGTATTTCATCGCAATGTTTATCTTTTCACACGAAACAGCTGTTTTCTTTGACGACACGTCTGCTAATCGCAGTATGGAATGTTGTGCTGCCGTGACATCGGCATACGCTTGCTCAGCAATGTTTACAACATTTTTGCTTCTAACACTAGCAAGCTGTTTGTTGTTCCAGACCTTGTATGATTGACATCGGTTCCAATCAGCCCAGTGGTAGGCGCGTAGGCAACATGTTATAGCGTGACAGCGGGCCCAGCACAGCAAAATAAACGATTTGAGCCCGGGACATTCTACCTACTGTCAAACGCTGCTGTTGGTATAGGCCTTGTCAGTGGCGTGGTTCCAATCGAGCAAAGCGGTGCACTACGTCCATATTTTTACATGCATTATAAATACCAATGACATTGTTCATTTGTCATTTTGTCACTCCCAACACAGATTACCCATTTTTGGGTAGGTTCAGTTTTGACCGATCTGGGTGGATTCTACTCAAATTTGAGTAGTTTTGAAATAGCGTGTAGGGTGCATGCACGCTCTCCTGCACGCTATTTTAATTTATAATGATTGACACAGCCGATTAAATCAAATCAAATTTGAGTTTCATTCACTCAAATTCGCAAAGAGGTACAATGAAATGTTTTGTAGCTATACAATAGAATTTATTGTATTTATAATACATCGTATTGTGCACAACGATAAAATAACCATAGAACTTATTGTTTCGATAGAAGAATCGATGGTAAAGCCTGGTATACAGCTGAAAAGTAATGACGTTTTTACGTGCTACGGGATAGGACACCGAATGCCAAAGAAATGACTTTACTTTATCATTTCTTGACCCAGTATGCAGTTCTTAAGAAATCGGTAAGGGAAAACCTAATAAAAAATAACCATAAACGAACGATAACCCAAATCATCGAACCATTCCACAAATGGTTTGGATGATACCCAGAACACGTCGTTAAGCAAATTAACCATACAATTTTTATTAGGGGAGATCGATTGCATTAGTATCGAGATCGAAGTGGCGCATGAAATTCCACTTTCCTTGCGGAATAATGATGTGATCAATTGGGTTATTAATATTCGTTATCTGTATTAAAAATGGAACCGAAATCCAAAATTTCATCAATTTTGGTAATACCCTGTTCACATTACAGCCTATATCAGTAATATCTTGCAATGAGCACTCATACATAGGATTTCCAGTGAAAACTAGATGTATGAGTGCTTATTGCAAGACAGCGTATATAACGTGATATACGCTGTAATGTGAACGGGGTATAAACTGGAACTATGTTATACCCTGGACAGACTATGGCTTATATCATGTAATATAGGCTGTCTTGCAATGAGCACTCATACAAAGGATTTCCAGTGAAAACTAGATGTATGAGTGCTCATTGCAAGACAGCTTATATTACATGATATAAGCCATAGTCTGTCCAGGGTATTAAATAAGTACGATTACATTATCGAAAATCACCATCGTAGCCCTTGGTGGGACTTTGTATGGGAGTGAGCTGTCAACGGATAGATTTAGTGTCAACGATCAAAAATTTAAATCTTGATTTAAAATTCGAGATAAATGTCTACGGGATCGATAAAAAATATCGTTGTGCTCAGAAAACAAAGCTCTATCAGATGATGTGTAAACATCAGTATGCATTTCGAAGTTAAACAACCCAATTATTCCGTTAGATAATTTTTACGTTCGTTGCAAAAGTGATGTTATGGTTACATTTTAACAACATAAAAACACAGAGAACAGACTTCCACTAGAAACTTGTGTAAAGATAGGTGGGAATGTCGCCGTTACGTGGCGCTATCATCTCCTGATTTCCTCGAGGGGGGCGACACATCTAAATCTCAAGTCTAGATGCTCAACAAATCTTACACTAGCGAATCAATCTTCTAAAAATCTTCTTTCATTTCTCGCATCTACTTGCATCGTGCATCATCTTTTTGCAGGAAATCTTCAGAATCGTCATCAATCTTCTTTCTATCTACTCAGCGTGCGCGCAGCTAGCCACAGCAAAACACAATTTGGCGCTAGTATCGATAAATTTTCTGTTGAAAATTGCCACTTGGCGCTACTAGCACTTAGTGTCTAGTGTAATTTGTGCAACGCCATCGCCATCAGGTTGTCAAGTGGAAAATTTATAGAGAAAATCAGGAGATGCTAACACCACGTAACGACGACGTTCCCACTTATTTAACACAAGTTTCTGACCGAACTTGAACGTCTGTTCTCTGTGGCGGAAGTGGAACCGCAGCGGCAACGGAAAAGCCCGATATTAGTAAGCCTACTTGTCGGATTAAAAACTAGTTAGAACCAAATCGAATTCTGTTAGACATCTTGATGCCATTTGTGACAGTTGTCAAACTTTCCGTTCCGCTTCCGCCCACATTGCGTTTGGGCCTTTATTCAAAATGATTTTGAGCTCCTAAAACAGCAACAAAGCAAGATCGTTACAGCAAACAGGATCTCCCGAAGCCACGAGATCGGAATTTAATTCACGCTGAAGCGGGGAAGGTGGATTGCTCGGTGTGTAAAAGAGAAGGACATCGCGTAAAGGATTGCATAATATTCTCCGCCTTACCGGTCGACGACCGCTGGAAGAAAGTGCAAAGTTTGCAACTAACCACTACTTCAAGCAGTTAAAATGACGTTTAATACCACTCGAACTTTGAAATAAAACATTATTTTGAGACTTTTTCTTTTAGAACCTTTCTCGTGGTAGTAGCCAATATTTGGGCGTTTCATAAAAAAATTGAAATTAGTTGGTCCAGTTTTGTGTAATCGATGATAGAAAGTCACGCCAAAACTGCTTGACAAAGTGGTCAATTGTGCTGAACCTGCTTATCGAATCACAGGCGAAGTACGAAACGCTGTGAGGTCGATGGATGTCAATATCGGCACAATCCACTCTTACATGCTCCGATTCGAAGTACAAGAGACAAACCAGCGAGTCGCATGTACAGTATCACCTCAAAAAAGCATCCATACCGTCTTTACTTTTCCGCATACTTCCGATTACATGACACAATGGTCTCAAAAGCGTGAAAACGTTTGCCTTCTTATACGAAAGGTCATCCGTAACCATGATCGAAAGCAGTTTGGCAAAGGAATTGGGCGTTACCGGGTACAAAAAGCCACTCTGCTTGAAGTGGACGTGTGACGTGACCAGGGAAGAACTTGACTCACAGCGCATCGCGATCCTTATCTCCGGCTGCGGAAATTCTAAGTGGTACAGAATGAACGACGTTTGCACGATCCAAGCTTTGGATCTTGCTATGCAGAGTCTACCAATCGACGAGCTGATGAATATTTACCCCCACCTCGCTGGACTTCCTGTTCGAGGATATCACAACGCAGTTCCCAAATTACTCATCGGTGTCGACAACCTGCGACTGGCGCTTCCGTTAAAATGCAGAACACAGCTTTCACATCTGTGAGTGTGGGGGAGAAGAGGCCTTTGAATTCCCAGACAGTTACCCTATGGCGGTCAAGCGACTCCAGTGTCTCGAGAGAAGAATGGCTAAGGATCCGGCGCTCAAGCAAAACATCTTGCGGCAGACTGACGAGTATCATTTCGATTAATCTGGTACGCGTCCGCAAAAGTGGA